TTCACATCCCTTACGTAGAGTATGGCTCCAAGCTATGTAGGAGTGCTGTTTCATGGAAGATTCCTTTGATGCTGCTATCCCCGCTTCAACTCTTCTCAATTAATTTTTTCCTAATCCTTTTGTTCCAGTGGTCGCGGCACCTGATTTGGCCATGGTTCATCTGTATCGTCTCGTCGATCCTCACTTCGTTGGCCTACTGTATTATGTGGTGGGCAGGGGATGTACGGGACTACTGGATGGCTCTTACTATTCTTGAAATTATCGGCGTTTTCATCAACGTGAGTGATCCATCCCATCTGGTCCAATTCCCAAGTCACAATTCCCCAACTGTCAGTTCAGGTGTATTGCGTAGTTGTGGTATACATGTTTATGCAACGATTAGCGGCCACGACGGACGAGTACGAGGGTAAGAAGCCTCAAGTGAGGTACAAGGTCAACCGAAACGGATACACCAGAAAGCCGCTCGACGATTATCGCAGTAAGTTATCAGTTCAACAAAATTTCCAGACTCCAGCAGAGCTCTTCCCATTTACCGGCAAATTTAGTTTATCAACCTGTCCAGCGGAGGATGCCGGAGGAAATAATGAAACATTCCTATCCTCCCCAAACAACCCGTGAGCTAACTTTCATAACAAACAATTCTTCTTCGTCGTTTCCCTCTGTGAACACAATTCCTCAACCCTTGTTGCTAATAAACTTGCCCTCGCTTTCCCTAACAAGACACCACTTCCTTCGAAGAAGTCCTGCCTTTTCGTCCTGCGTCCGAGTGTTCTCAAGGCATATCTTACCTAGCCACCAACTCCCATCAGTCCGCCTTTATGTCACCCATGACTCACGTATTGTTACGTTCCTCCGACAAAATATCATACCAGTGATTTCAGCCATGTATCAGAATTATCCGCCGTATTCACCGTCAGGGATGCCTCAGACTCCTTTACCAATGCCCTCATCACCATATCCACCAGTTCCTCCATATCCAGTGGATGATCACGAGGTGAGTTTCTCAGTGCCAACTGTACGTCTAATCAAGCATTGTGGGTGGGAATAGGTGACGTAATGACATTTGTTCTTCCCTACCTCTGCTACCAAATTCTAAAGTTGCTTTCGGTTTATTGTTGAACATTTAGCGAGCCTAGGGGTCTTAGGTGAGGACTGATTTGGGAGTAAATGGGTTCCCCCCAATTTCCAACTGAATTTCGTACATAAAGCCTTCTCGGGCAATTCTGATTGTACCCTCCATCATTTTTGGTCACTAACTATAATTACAGTAGTAAAAGAGAGCTGATCGCAATCACCATTGAAACTGTTGATGTAAGCACATGGGTTGTATGGGTGAATTGCGGATCAGGCCATTCTCATCACCTTGCTCGTGGCCAGTTTGATACACTTTTGAGCTCTGGAGAAGATTTTTCACAACCATCGTGGTGTGCTGGCTTTCTGTCTTAATCTGTGTGAAGAAAAAGAATTTTGGGAAGAAAGCTCATACTTGACTTTCATTTTTGCTTGCAACCTTGTTTTACAGGTCTCGGCCTTTCAGAGTGTGTTTGCTCCTGCTAAATTTCATAACTCCCGTTTACAATACTTCATTTCCACTCTACAGCCAAATTTCACCTTGTTTGGTATTTTACGTCGATAAATTCCGAAAGGCAATTAACAGCGACCCCTTTGATCTCTGGTTGTGAATGTTGCCTTCATGAACGGGGATCTTACATTTTAATATTGATATTCGTTTGCGTTTATCCACCTTCGTTGGGCAGATGAACTGTTATGATTGAGTTCGATACCTTTTTAATTGCTAAACTTAGCAAACAAATGCGGTAAGTTAAGCGCGAGGGTCAACAATCGAGGCAGAGTCTAAGGTAAACAGTCGCCTCAACGAACAGTTAAATTTGGCCCTTCAGTTGAAAGCTCACGTGACAGGGCGCGCAATCGAAGTTACACAACTGTCTTTTCGGACAATTCGAACGGCTCGGTCGCATTTGTGATTTTTAGGGGAGAGGAGGGAGTGGGTCGTTTTTGCGGATGACCAAGGTCAAATACAGAGTTTGCGATGAAGAGACAGTAGGCAAGGTAGAGGTGGTCAGCGATGAAACGATGAAGAAAAAAAACCAAGAAGAATGGCTTGAAACTCAAGACGGGAACCCCCTTTGGCCATGATTTGCTCGTCAGGACTGTGTCTTCGATACTGCCCTCCTCAATTTAAGCGCTGTCTTTGCTGAAGTGGCTAGAATCAGACGGTGAGGCGTGCAGCGGCGCGAGCGACGCGGGTATGGTCCTACTTAGACGCTGCATACCCCTTTGCTGCAAAACTCGTATCGTCCCCCACTTCAGTGTGTCCACCGTACCATATTATTTCCCCTTCTT